AACTCCGAGCTCAGGCAGTTGAGGAGGAGGTGGTTTCACAGGTTCATCAGCGACCAGGAGCCCATGCAGACAGCGGGATCCAAAGCGATGAAGCACACTGCCCAACACAAAGGTAAGGGATGTACCCCTGTGCACGTAGACTGCGCCTCTTCTGTTCCAATGCTGCATCACCCTTTTGGCGAAGGAATTGTTCCTCAGCTCCATCTAAACCTGCCCTGGGGCAGCTTGAGGCTGTTTCTTCTTGTCCCATCCCTTGTTCCTTGGGAGCAGAGACCAGCCCCCTCCTGGCTCCATCCTCCTGTCAGGCAGTTGCAGAGAGCGATCAGGTCCCCCCTGAGCCTTCTCTTCTCCACACTAAACCCCCCGGTCCCTCAGCCCTTCCCCATCACACTTGTGCTCCAGGCCCTGCTCCAGCTCCGGTGCCCTTCTCTGGCCCCGCTCCAGCACCTCAATGTCTCTCTTGCAGTGAGGGGCCCAGAACTGACACAGGGTTTGAGGTGCAGCCTCACCAGTGCCAAGGGGCTCAGGGTAGGGCACGCGTCTTTTCCTGCCAGGAGGCTGGAAAACTCCATTAGTGCATCAAATGAAAACAAGAATTTGTTAGGTAAAAAAAGAAAGTTTCCTGTTAGGAATGCTTCCAGGAGATGGGGTGTTTCATACTGCTTCCCGGGCCTGGTTATGCCATTGCAAAGAGACAGGGACTGGATCACCGACATGCTGTTCTGCTCTAAGACCCGGAGTCTCTCCACGACTCACTCACAGGATGTGACTTGGGATACCTCTGGGGTCTGGTGGTGTGGGAGCGATGGAGGGAGAGCACCTGCTGCCTCCTGACATGGCTGCTCGGCCCCACACGCCGCGTTTCTCTGCTGCTGGTTTGAATCCAAGTGCCCATATCTGAAGTCTCCAGTGAAATGCAGAACATCTTCACTGGAGGCGACTCCCAGCCCATCAGCAGCGTGCTCAGCGTGTACATCACGGCTTGTGAGTTCTCTAACTGCATGTTCACAAATTACCAATGTGCAGGTCTTTAAATCTACTGTTGTGTTGGTAATATTTAAATATTTATTATTCCAGGCTCCAAAATCTCTATTAGCGTGCCTAAACTTTCCTTTTCTTGTGGATTATTTTATTGATAATATAATGCTTTTTAGGTTTTTTCATCATATATTCTCTTCCTGTCCAAGTTCATGTTAAAGTTTCCTGTGTTATCATCTCAACACTGCTAAAATTAAATTTCCTTTTTTCTTCATATTTTAATGATAAAATGTACTTTTATACACACAATTGCTGTATAATAGTGGGAGCCCACATTATCCTTCCAATCCTATATTAAAAAATGGGCTGGATTTTTACGGTGTTTTGTTCATGACAACAAAAAGAGGCTTCACATAGGATGCAGTCTAAGAGAAACATTTATCTTTCATATGCTAAGTAAAGCAAGACATATTTTAAGAGATTCATTTGCACCCAGGAGAAGAAGATAGTTGGATGCGATAGCTAGCCAGTGCTGCCTAGTTAAGACTGAAGTTATCTTTCCATTATAGCTTTAATATAACTCTATGTACCCAAAGAAAATTGATTTTCTTAATATTTCTTTCGCATCGTCTCATTGTCAACTAGAGACTTTCAATAAAACTTGGGAGAAATCCAACAAGATTTCTCCAGGTCTTTACCACTTTGAAGAACACCTTCTCCTTTACTTCAGAAACTCACGGTGCATTGCCACAAAAGGGAGGGGGCAGGAGCCATGGCTCACGGGGGCCGCCGCCTGGCTCTGGGCCTGCTTTGAGGAGCTGGAGGAATGGAAAAGGCTGGTTTCCCTTCGGCTCGTTTCCACTGAACACTCAGGCTTACCCCTGCAATAGCACCAATGAAGGCTCAGCACCAGCAGCCAGGCCTGCAGGGTGGGCAGGACGTGACATGCAGCCCCTGCACAACTTCTGGCGCTGGATGGATTTGTCCCTTTTCCCTGTGTCCATCCTGCGCGCATTGTCTAACTCTGCTCTTGCACACAGGCACCTACATGGGATGCTTCAGTGATGATTCGAGGGAGAGGACACTGAAGGGCGCTGTGTTCTATGACTTAAGAAAAATGACGGTATCCCACTGCCAGGAGGCTTGTGCCGAGAGGTGAGTGGGAATTTTTCAGGGCAAGTTTCCTCTTTTCTGACAATAAATGGAACTGAATTTGAAATGGGAAAAGCACGCACTTAAACATACAGCATCTGTGAAAACTGTGATTATGTCACACCTTCAGGCATTCCGTAGCTCTGCTACCTTGCTTAAGTAGACTATTTCACCGCTGCCTAGTCTCTTCATCATAGCATGGCTACTGACAACGTATTTCCTGTTGTCCTGGTCAAAAATTACTATTTTGTTAGATAGTCTTTGTGGTCTGCAGAGCATTGCAATGCACGTGGTGCCTGTCCCCAGGGCTGGCTGCGTCTCTGGAGCAGGGTGGCAGAAGCATGTGCCTACAAAGGGACAGGAGTAGCCAGAGTGCCTGTCCCGACGGTGCCCGGGTTTGTTCCTGCAGGGCTTACAGCTACGCGGGGCTGGCGTACGGAGCAGAGTGCTACTGCGGCAACAAGCTCCCCACGACCGCCTCGAAGCCTGAGGAGTGCAACAGCGAGTGCAAGGGGGAGAAGGGCTCTGTCTGCGGAGGGGTGAACCGGCTCTCGGTCTACAGGGTGGAGGAGCTGCGGGCAGGAGCCAGACGACGTAAGTGGGGAGGCGGGCGGCTGCTGGCCCGGGAGCGTGCTCACCCCGTGGGGCACACGCTGCAGCCGGGCTGAGCGCATGGGCTGATACCAGCTTGAAACAGCAAAGGACAAAGGTGCCCACGGAGCACTGTGTCCATGCTGCTGGCCCAGCCCCTGGCTCCCTATGAAATAGCACTGTGGCTCACTGCCTTGGAGCAGTGAGATGTGCCAGGCACCACTGCCTCGGGGCTGCCACAGCGGAAGTTACTGTCACCAGAGAGGAAACAAAATACTGTGCAACAGCAGCAGAATTTCAGCCAAAAACCTACTCCCTCTGCATCCTTCGCAGAGGGGCAAACCCACGCTTGTGTAAGAAACAACCTGGGAGTGGGTGCCTTATAACGGAAGGGCAGAAAAGCACTCAACCTATGCCAGCCTAAGCTCAGAAATGATCCTAAACAAAGGATTGCAGCAGGATAGTAAGTAGAGTAGGACAGTAAGTAAGAGGGACACCAATGTCTTTCCTAGGTGAGAGAAATGAGACCAGATTTTTGTTGTTCCAAGGACTTCTGTCCTAGTTGTGGTTGGGATTTCTGTTCCATCTTGAGATGACAGTGCTTACCCTACTTGTCATTCAGTTAGGTACCGTGGGAGATACAACAGATAGATAAACCTTTGGGCCAACACAAAGCACATAAAATACCTAACAGCTGAGCTGTCTTTACTTTTGGCAAGCTTACAAGATCTTAGGATGTTATTTGCTGAGAAGCACCACCAAGACCTTAGGTTGTGCCAGTATTGATGGTACTTCATTTCTTCTTAAAGACAAGTCAAGGTTTGTACAATAATCCACCCAGCTACATATAAATTATATATCAAAGGTACATAGACCTAAATTGCTTGTGTCAGGCTGACAGACACATTGGCAGTTTTCCCAGGACATGCATCACTGTTTAAATCTTAAGCATAAAATATATATACATCTTTCACAGAAAAAGGGCGGCATTTATTTTTCTCCTAAGCATTAATGAATTAGTCATCAAATTAGTCTAGCCTGGAGCTAGATTTGTATTTTGGTTGCCCTTAGTAATACCCAATATTTGACTGTTTGAAGAATCCCACTGACAAGCCCACAAGCTAGCTGAGAGGCCAACAGAAGCATTATCACAATGAACAAGTGCATTGGGAAGTTACTCTGAAACTGTAACAGCATCTGGGATGTGCATGATGCCACGCAGAGAACAGACCTAGCGTAAGGCTCCTAGTTGCACAGAGCATGTCCAGTAGCATCTCCACTTAAACCTTCCCAGGGTTTGGTGGCTCTCGGCTCCCTGAGCACCACGAGCTGCGCAGCTCCTGCGCCAGGACTGTGCTCCGTGTCACATTAAATATGGTGCAATTCAAGCTACTGCAGCTAGTGCCCCTTGGCTCATGCTGAAGAATCTGGGCCCTTCTGCCAGGAAATACTTGCACAACCGAAATTCCCTTCAACACGGCATCTCTCCAGTCACCCAACACATTTCCCACATCAGTTCTGGTGAGTGTTCTCTAAGGTAGCAAGTGAGTGCAGACCAGGACTCAGAAGACCCAAATTCACCCCCAAACCCTCCTTCCTCCAAATTCTGTCAGAAGAGTTAGCACAGAGCGACGAAGTAAGAGCCTTTTCCAGCTTTGTAAAGCCAAAACCAAATCCCAGGAGCTGCAGAACCATGGAACACACAGACTCTTTTCTAAGGCCACACCATTTCCTCCGTTCCCATCGGTTCATCTGTGCCGATGCGCAGCCTCGCCTGGGCAGGGGGCTCCCATAACAGCTCAGGGTTCGCCTGGTTCTGTCCAGGGAGGTTGCTCTCTCAAGCAGGAGGGGAGTGGTACTGCTGCTTGTAACGAGCATTTGGGCCAAACCCTGACTTCAACCACAGCGATGCAAAACACAGATAATTCTGCCAGGCTCCATGGCACGGACACAGGAGCAGGGCAGAGCAGAGGCCGATGCTGAACCCAGGACGCTGAAGCAAGCCCTTCTTTCCCAACAGCTTACAAAAGCCTAGTTCAGATTTCGAAGGCTGCAGCAAACACCCTTGGCCTGAAAAGAAAGTGAGTGGGAAGAGGAGGGAGAGCTCAGCAGGAGCAGATGTGCAGGAAGGTGGGTCCCTGGCGGGGGCTCAGGATTCATTTAAATTCTGTTCCTTTTCTGGTGCAGATCATGGGAAGCTTTGTAGATTTTTATCGGAGCTTTTAAGTCTTTCAGGGGAAAGCATGTCTTGAAAAGAAGCCTGGGACCTGCAAACAATAGCAATGCCCTCCGCTGGTGGAATGCAATCTAAACCCTTTGCTGCAGCCCTGCCTTCGGTGGTTTGTACAAAGCCAAAGGCATGTGCTCCTTTCAGTACCACAGGATTTGCAACACAGTTTTCTAGTGTCTATCATGGCTTCTCGTATTCTACAGCATTTGGAATATACAATTTATTTTATTATTTTTAGCTTCTGAACCTAATATTGTTCTTTGTGAAAGAGACAGGACACTACGGACGTTGTTTTCTCAAGAGAAACCTATTTCATATCCCTGCAGGGAGGAATGTTATCTATCGAGGATGTTTTAGAGCTCCAGCAAATTTAACAGACACCTTTCCAGCCTCTTTGATACAGCCCAATTTGACGGTGGAGATGTGCTCTGAATTCTGCTCCAAGAAAGTAAGAACAGTTCTCATTTCACATTATTTCTTCTTTCTCGTCATTTTAAATTTTAATCTACTAAGGGAATAACAGAGATTAGTGCCTCAGAGCTTTGAATTTGTAAATGAGTTTCTAAAGCACAAAGCTCATCACAGTAAATAGCCAGTGATGTATCTGGTCCAGCTGCTCTCCCAAGTGGGGATGGTGGGACAGAAAGCCATCAGACTGATGCCACTAAATATCACACATAGAAAAGCCGTTCTGAGTATCAACCATGAGGAAATCGATGCCATTTCCACGTCACACTCAAACCAAGCCCAGAGCCAGATCTGACCCAGGGGAGGCCTTCGTGGCCCCAGTGCCCTCCAGGGAGCCCCCATGGCTCCAGGGCAGAGAGAGGCAATCCCAATGCCCTCCTCCTGGTGCAGCCCTGAGCTCCCCACAGGCAGCAGCAGGCACAGCCACAGCGAACAGGAGGATCTAACGTGAGGTATCTACACATGGTTTTTACACCAGTGTGTAACTGTGTTGTCTGGGAACATGAGACTATCAGATGAGCACACGGAAAGCAGGTGGACTGTCCTGGTGCTTTAATACAAATGTGCGTATTTCTGCACCAGAATTTATACCATTTTCACTACAACCTATGTAATTTAGATCTTATTTATTTTAATTTAAACTGGAATCATTGTAGAACTACATGTAGATCAATGAGACTACCAGGAAGCAAGGAATAAGGTCAGTTGTGTGTCAGCTTTTGGACTGAGGGCGAGAAGGACATGCCAACATCTGCTGCCCTAGGGCACCCTCTTGGCCTGAAGCAGCATCTTTGCTCATCCTCCGCACTTACCACAGAGTAAGAGCGTAGATATAAGAACTGAAGGAGTTTGATGGACATGGGGATCCTCACGGGAGGGAACGTTCAGCTCAGGGCAGCCTCTGTTTCAGTGGCTGTTGTGGTTAGTTCCCTTCCCTTCCTCCCCATCCCATGGGGCTTAGTTTTTTGCTCAGAGGAGGGTTCACTGCATGGTCAGATTCAGCCTGCAGCCACATTCAGCCTCATGCACTAAACTGAACATTCAATTACTTTGTCTTCTAGCATCACAAAATTGATTAAAACTATTAAGGCATGAACAACAAATCTTCTTAATTACTAGGTAGAGTGGGAGAGCTTTTCCCAGACAACATACCCTCCATAGCAGCTCAACAGTGTTTTACACATGCATGACGGGATTAGCTCTGTGCAGCCAGTTGCAGTGAATCACGCACATACCCCGTGTATAAACACACACATCCCCCGTGCATGTAAATGCACAGACATCAGGACATCAGGAGCAATTATGTCCAACTCTGCTGTTAATCTGTTGCATAATGGTGGGAAGAAATCTTGATCTTTGTGGCAGTTTGCCCACATGTAATAATTTTATTACTATTTACTGATGAAGTGCAATTGATTGTTGATTTTCAATCTATCTGGGAGAAAGGCAGGAAATATCTGGAGAAGCTCAAACATGAGGTCAGTCTTTTAAGCACAATTGTGCGATTTTGGTGTGGGGAGATGGTATAGCTCCTTCAAGGTTTTTTGGCCATGCAGCCAAAAAGTAAAAGCTTCTGAATGACTGAGAAGGATACAAAAAAGACCACAACCAAAATGTATCACATTAGCCTGACTTTCAAACAGGGCTTGGCGAGAGGAGAGCAGCAGGATGGAGGAAACTGTCTATCTCTGCATAACAGCTAGTGCTTTTCCAGAATTGGAATCAATGCCTATTTGCTTGATGAAGCTTGTGTGAGAAAGCTATGAGGAAACTAGATATTCTAAAGGATTATCTGAACAGAGTCCTGCAGAGAGGGCATGGAGAGGGCTGCAGAAATGATAGCATGAAGAGGAAAAGGTACAAAAGGAAGGTGAAGAAAAGGTTTGGTACCTCTCTCATTTATTCCTTCCCTAAAATGGTGCAGGTAACACATCACACTCCCTGCCGACAGCCCTGTTGGGCCCCATGGCACCCTTTGGAAAGTGACTGTTGGAGAGTATTCTCCTACGAAAGGGCTGGCAAGGTCTCCCTCCGCTTCAGCAGTGGCAGTTGCACATCCACAAGCCCAGTTATTGCCCACCGATTTGTGCTTTAACTCTAGATACCAAAAAAGGCCCTAACGTGACACTACAAGCGTTTGTCTCAACTTTGATTCCTTTCCTTGCAAAATAACATGGACAACTGCCTAGCCAGTAGCAACATGCTCCTGAAATCAGGAACCCCAGTATCTCAATGTACCCAAAAGCCATGCCGGTGACTTTGCACACTTGGACGTTACCAGCTTCACAGTGCTTTTTCTTTTCTTTATAAAGCAGTACACAGAGCACAGTAATTTTCTAATCTCAAAACCAGACCTGCTATTTTAGATTCCAGATGTAGCTACATGCCATTATTTACCCATAAACAAAAGACTCCTGGGACTTGGATCAAAATCCCGTTGGAGAATTCATACAGAGGGTTTCCAGAGCTTCATGTAGATATTTTAATTATTTTTTTAACACAATAAACCAAAGCTAAGAGGGCCAGAACCTCAAGTGGTGCAGGCACCCACAGCCTCCCACTGTGCACAGCTTCATTTGACACACGTGCTGCCACCACTGGAACTGTGAGGGGCTGCAGAGCAGCACCCAGCTGACCACTGCTTCTGCATACACAGGAGCATGGGGCAGCACTTGCTGAGGTCTCTCTGCAAAGCCTCTCGCTCACAGGCGCCCCTTGGCACAGGTACGTTTCTATTCCAGGCTGTGTGTGGGAGCTGGGACGTTTGTTCATTTCTCAAGCTGAGAAACGCTGCTTCATTGCAAAGGGAGAATTCCCGACTGCAGGCAGGAACAGCGCTGGTTTGCCCTTGGAGCAAATCTGTAAATAGTTTCTGACAACATCGTATCTCATTTGCTAAGCAAATGTTGGCTGTTTGGGCACACATGTGTTGTATTTGACTCCTTATCAGAGGATGAACATGCGGGAAAGAGTGAGAGATAAGCTGCTTGGCAGTCCTGTCACACACTCCCAGGCTCCAAAAGACTTTTAAAAGGCAAAAAGTGTTGATATGGAAGAAGTGGAATTGAACACAGCACTCAAGTAACCCCAAATTCCTTCAGCCGTCCTGTGGCTGCGCCGAGCCTGTCCCCACACGCCTGCCCTGGGGACCATGGAAAGCCAGGGAAAACATCCCCAGTCCCCTGGTAAAGAGGAGAAAACTGAACTTTTGGGGCAGTTTCAGCGAAGTAGTAAGTGCTCTTTTCCTCGTGAGACACAAGCAACTGCTGATTTCTTCAGCAAATGATCAGCACACATTTCCCTCAAAGTTCCCTTAGCTCCCACCAGCACCAGCCCAGCCCCGCTGCCCTGCCACCTCCTTGGAATTACTTCCTTGCAACAAGCACTGTGGCTGCTGTGTGCTTGCAGACCTTACACCCTGCTGAGATACCTGTCATTTGCAGCACTCAGCCTGGATTTCAGATGAGGTTTCCCAGCCTTAGAAGCAAGGTAGAACCTCCCTCCAGCGCCAGGCACCGCACGTCCCCTCTGCCCCTTCTGGCACAGCCCCACACTCGCCCTCAGTGGGGTCCCTCTGAATACATGTGCCAAAAATTACTTGGTACCACATTTCTAAGTGGCTTTTTCAGAAACATACACAGCAGCTCTCAAACCCTCCACCGGCCCCTCCGTGCACATTCATTTTTGCTAACTGGGAAGAAATCACACTAAGACATGTCCTTCTTTATGGCTTGGCTTTTTCTGGTTTAAAAATGACATTAATCAGTGGGTCTAAATTCCCTCTTTGCTTTAATTTTTTAAGGGCAAGCTTCCTCTACACGAACTCTGGTAAAAGCTGCATAAAGCAAACCTGCTAACAGTAGAGTCATCAGTTTGAGGGAATATAAGCAGAGGTTTAAAAGATGATCCAATTCAAAATGGGTGCAAATAAGAATACTTTTCCTACACTGAAGTTTTGTAGGTGGAATTACATACTAGGTGCTACAGAAATATTGTAAAATTATGGTTTATGAATAATTAAAAAAAACCCAGAATATTTTGACTTCTCATGCATTATGAGTTTCGTGTCTGAAAACCACTTTTAAAGCAATTGCAATATGAAAGGCACTAGAAGCATAAGAAGCATGAGCTTTACAATGATATATCAAACTCTGCTTTGATCTTGACAGTGGCCTTGTGAAGATTTATTTCTCTTTGCATAGCAGCAGCATTCCCCACGGGCTGTTGATGTGGCATTTACTCACTGCTGTTTTCCCCCTGCCGCAGGAGTTTCCCTTGGCAGTGCTCCGAGCACGGGAGTGCTACTGCGGCTACGCCACCGGGCGCTTCTCACTGCACAACGGGGCGGACGCGCTGCTCTGCAGCGGGCTGCACAACGCCAGCAGCGCTGCCGAGGGACAGTACTGCCTGGTCTACCAGACCCCAGTGCAAGGTAGGAGCGCCCGCCATGCCAGGGCAGAGCCAGCATTGCTAGATGCGGCCCCTGCACCTCTTGGGCTGTGGGTAGGGCTGATCTTCGTCTAGAGGCTCTTTGAAGAGTGGAGAGAATAATTTATAAGTTATTTGCTGGCTTATTGTTGAATCATCACAGAGGGTCAAGACTGGCTCTCATCCTATCCTTGCTTTTGTTGGCAGGCTAAGAAGTAAGGTTAGGATTTATGAAAGCATAGTAGGCTGTCATAAAGTATCACCAAAGTGTGGAGACCAGGTGTCCAGCCCCCACGGAGATGAACACAATACGGCTCATCACTACCTCGGGCCCTTTGGAGAGACAGGACATTAGGAGGCACAGCTAGAGGTTTAACTGAAGCAGCTCCTTGCAGTAGGAGGGGTTTCTCCTGCATTGTAAAACTGCAATTTCCAGGTGTAATGGCACATTCAGGTTTCATTGAAAAGCCAACCTACCAGGCAAATAGCTGTTAACAAACAGGCATCAAGGGGCTTTTATCACAACTTGCTGGCAAGTACAATGGTTTGCTGCAGCTCTTTCAAAAAAGCATTGCCTAACACAAAACCAGCAAAAACCTCTTCTGAGGATAATCTCTCTGGCCTCTTACGGCTGAATTAATTTTGGGAAGTAGCTGACTCACAACCGGACTCAAATTGATATCCTATATTTGTAAGAGAGAGAAGAAAGAAGCAATAAACCCCGTAATCAAGAGCTGTCAGTGAAATTATTAAAAAGCCACAGTGCTAACAATGAAATATCTTCTGTATTCGCAGACACCCGCTGCACGGACAGGAAATTCTTAACCACCAAATCCAAAGTGTTTGTTGCTTTGTCAAGCTTTCCTGGGGCTGGGAATACATGGGCTCGCCATTTGATAGAGCATGCCACAGGATACTACACTGGAAGCTATTACTTTGATGGAGCCCTCTACAACAAAGGTACTGTATCCACAGGGATGTGGCACACAAAGCCATTCTGAGACATGGAGCTTTGCTTGCTCTGGCATCCTCCTGCTGGGACCCAGTGGGCGCTGCCCTGCTCAGCACCTTGGTAGAATTCAAACCTGTGCCTGGAACGAGCCATCGCTCATGGTGCCAGCAGCAGCAGGGATGGCTCCAGCAGCTCCACGGGCACCTGCTTTCACAGACCACAGCCAGGCTCTCCATCTGCAGAATGTGCAGGTTGCCTGCACTGGTGCTGCTGAGCACACACACATGCACAGCTCCCATCTGAAAAACTTGTACAAAAGACCAGCCGACTAAAACGCCCCCTCTAAACCCTGAGCCTTGCATAGCACAGGAAACACAACATTTTAAAGTGTTACTAACTGTGCTGGGAGGGCAGCAACCTGCAGGGGCACCATATTGAGCTAGCACAAGCAGTGGCCCTGTGAAAAGCAGCCCCTGTGCAGCACGGTGCCGCCAGCATTTCCCCAGCAGAGGAAAGCCGGGCTCCTGCGCATGCCCTGCGCAGGCACAGGTTTGGTGGACTGGTCCTTCCACTGCAGTTTTACACCACTGCAGGGAGTGATTTAGGGTGTGAAAGGTACAGGCACATAATCAAGTGGAAAGGCCAACAATCCTGTCCTGTAAAACAGGTTTTAAAGGAGAAAAAGACCACTGGAGAAGTAGAAGGACCATCTGTGTGAAAACACACGAGAGCGGCAAGACGGAGATCGAGATGTTCGACTCTGCGATCCTGCTGATCCGGAACCCGTACAAGTCCCTGATGGCGGAGTTCAACAGGAAGTATGCGGGGCACCTGGGCTATGCCACCGACCGCAACTGGAAGAGCAAAGGTAAAACATCACCCCGGGGTGGGCTGGGGGGAGCTGCTACTTCAGACAGAGCCTCAGACCCAGCACTCCGGGGAGTGGGAGCACACCGGGACCGAGCGAGCCCTGCAAACAGTGGGACCCGAGTCCCACCACAGCCGAGTTCAGTCCCCGAAACACTTGGGCCTGCATGTGGGGAGTGGCTGGGGTCTTGCTGTACATCCAGCACCAAAGCTGGGGCCACAGGCATGCAGCAACACTGCTGCCATAGTGCTGTTTGGCAGAGAAAACATGTCCAGGTCCAACACTCCTATGTACAGCCCATTTGCCAAGCTATGTGAGGTGAAGAACATTTGCTCCTGCAGCATGTAGTAACCATGAGAAGCCTTATTTAAGATTTGGAGGATTCAACGGAGCATAACATTTCCTGAAGGAAATTTTACAGCACTGCACAGGTGCTACTGCACTGCAGATAAAGAAGGATAATAGCAATAAGGGGACTTGAGATTCAGTGTTCCTTGAACACATGAAAAGACTTCAGAATATGCCTGCTACGCTTCATGTGTTTGACTGGCAAGCTGATGGTGTGACTGTGATTTCCCCACTGAACACACTGCTGCAGTCAGACTGCAGCAGAGGAGGAATTCCACTTGCATATCTCCTTGTGCATATTTGAGGCATTACAGCTGTGGCTTAGCAAACCAGGCAGCACAGGGCGGGGGGAGGCTGAGGAAGTGTCCTCTCTCACACCACATTTCTTTCCCAAGATCATGTATTACCTTTCATCAGTCACAACTCAAAACCTATTCATCAAAACCAGACAAAATAGCCCTTAGAAAAAAGTCCAGAGGGAACAGCTTTCCTGTAACAATCTGTAGTTTGCTGTACATTTCAGCCACAAATGCTCTTCATTCAGCCCAAAAGCTTTAGCTAGGACTATTAGATTATCACAAACAGCAAATAGAGACGGAGGTGTCATTAGTGGTGGGCAAAGGTAGGAAAATAATTGACTAAATTCTGTCCCTGTGATCCTGGCGGGTGACCCAAGATCCCTTCCATGTGCCAGGCACAGCTGAATCTTCCAAATGAATCCCATTCCCCAGCCCGTGCCCAGCAACGCCAGCCCCGTTGCACAGGTAAGGCCTGGCCACCACTGCAGCGCAGCTTCGCTAACGCTGTCTCCTTTCCCTGCTCTCCCGCTGGTGCAGAGTGGCCGGATTTCGTGAACAGCTACGCTTCCTGGTGGGCCTCCCACGTCCTGGACTGGCTCAAGTACGGGAAGCGCCTGCTCATCATCCACTACGAGGACCTGAAGCAGAGCCTCATCCCCACGCTGAAGGAAATGGTGGAGTTCCTGAACATGACGGTGACGGAGGACAGACTGCTCTGTGTAGAGAACAACAGGGACGGGAATTTCAAGCGGTCCGGTGCTAAGCAAAAGGATTTTGAGCCATTCACCCAGGAAATGAAAGATCTTATCAACAGATACATCCTGACAGTGGACGAGGCCCTGAGGGGAAGAAATTTCACAGGGCTGCCCAGAGAGTACGTGCCAAGATGATAGCCTGGTAGCACTCAGTACCGAGGTTAAAAACAAGATAATTTTTTCTTAAAAAAAATAAAGCTAAAAAACCCCACAAAAATAGTAATAAAACAGGAACAGAGCTTGATAGTCGTTAAAGATACTTGTGGAGTCTGCTGAGCAGTGCAAATTCTCCCACTTGAGGGTGTCCTTCAGAGCACTAAGTGCTCCAGAAGGCAAGTAATGAAGGATGGAAATTGGGTTATAAACCAGGGCGAAAAGCTGTTAGTGTCTACCTGCGTGTGCCCCTCCTGCACCAGCGGCTCAGAACCTTGCAGGTAGCAGCCCTGCTTCTGCTGCGGGCATCCTGCCCCGCTGCCACGACAGACCTGCCAGGGGCCGCATGGGCTCCCCCAGCACCACGCGGGACATGGATGTACAGAAAAGGGAAGGGGAAAAAAAAGCCTGAACACTGATGGGCAATTTTCATCTGAGCATTTAAGGAAGTCACTTTCTCCCAGTACAGCCTACGAGCTTCCCTCCGGGTTTGCTGGTCAGGTCGCCTGCCACAGCGGTGTCAGAGGCACAGGGGAAGAAGGTGCCTGTGTGCTGGGCAGGGGGTGCTTCAGGACCCACCCCAGGCTTCCCTGCATGGCCAGGGCCACCCGTGCTCCGTGGGGAGGTGAGCAGCCACAGCGTGCCCCCGCAGTGAAGTGACCTGGGACCTGTAGGACAGAACCTCAGCATGGCCAGAGGTGGGCTGGGTATCACCAGTGCCACAGAGACCCCAGACCCGGCCCCAGATGCAGAGGCAGCCTCAGAGGGGTGGGAGAGGAGGGACTGCGCCTGTGCCAGGGGCTCAGCACAGGTTTCGGCACCTCCATCTCTGTCACCAGTCACAGTGAGTCTGGGGAGACACCGGGGCCAAACGTCACCATACTCAGTGCACTTGGTGCTAGAAGCAACCATGGCCAGGCAGCACTGACCACCTGGGGAGGGGGCAGAAGGGATGAGCCCCAGCATAGGCAGGATCCCACCTCCCCTCCAGTCCCCAGAGGAGGACCAAGGTAGCCCAACTTGTCAAACATTCAGCTACTTACTGCTGCTCCCTGGAGCCGTGTGTGGTTTATCTGTGACTCACTGGATTCCCTGCAGCTCGTTTCACCCTGCACTGGGTTGTGTGTGTGCAGACGGGTTCAGCCTCCTGGTCCTGCCTGCAGGCAGGGGCTGCCAGAGCAGCATGGAGATGGTCAAACCACCCAGCCAAAGGGGCTGCCCTGCTGCGAGATGCTTCTGTTTGTGTGAAATAAAGGATTCCTTGAAAACTTGAGTGCAAATATTAGTTTTAATAAAACAACAAGTTTATATAAAGGGAGCCGGGCTGCCTCTGCATGTGTGTCATTGGTGCTTTAAAAACCCACAGGGCACGGAGCACACTTTGGCCTGAGTCTCTCCCTGCTTATGTCTGTGCTGAGGGCCAGCGGCTGGCGTGGGCCCTGCTGCAGGGCTGTCGTGCCCACAGCGCCCATCGCCAGCTCCCTCCGCAGCGCAGAGCCACAGGGAATGGAGCGGGACTGCTGCTGGGGTTGCTGTGTCCAGCTGCACACATCAGCCTGGTCATGCAGCAGCTCAGACCCTCACACACAAGCTGCCCACGTGAACCCTCCATGTGAAGCAGCGGCCAGAGTCTAAAACCTGCCACCAGGACTGAGAGGATTGAAGGCTCCAAGGAAGCAAATTGTTTTATCCAGCACAGATTTTGGACCCAATTTTACTGGGACTTGTCTGCTTTGTACCAGGTCGGGAGTGACACTCGCAATAGGTCTGCTAAAATCAGTCCAAGTAAGTTGCGTTTGGGACTGTCACACTCTAGATGCCTATAGGTGAACATTCAGTTTATTGAGTTATTTCTCCCCTTGCATCCATGTTAAGGAAACATAGGGGCAGCTGAAGAAAGCCACTAAAAATAAAGAATAAAACCAGTTCCCTGCGAGGCAGGTTTCCTACACTCAACAAGCTCTGTGCTTATCACACTGAGCTTTAATTAAGCAGGATGTTTTAGTCAAAAGAAAAGAGCTATCATGCCATTAAAAGCTGTGTTGATGTTCACTCCACTTACATTTCCCTTATTTTGTACCCAGCAGCAGCATATTAGAACCAGGAACACGCGTGCAATGCCCTCAAGCTTTCAGTTTTCTCCAGGAAGTTAAAGCGATGATGAGTCACGAGCAGAACAAGAACGAAACAGAGATGCTGCATTTGAAAAGGGAGAAGAGTTTAACGCTTGAATTTTCCAAAGTGAACGAAGCTGAAGTCCTGGAAAACTTTTACATGTAGGTGGGAGACAACCTCTCTCCATAGAGAGTCTGGGTCAGTATCTCAGAGATCTACTTGCTCCTCAAGTGCACTTGTACTCTTCTGTGGGGGGAAGAAGGTAAACTGTAGCAGGAACAAAGGGCATAATAGGTCAGAAAATGGTTTTGCTTCCTGGAAACACTGCAAAATAAAGCCTTTACAGCAGTACTAAAAAAGCACGAACGTCATCACCAGCCATTCTGCAGTGCTTTATTAATTTTCCATTAAACTCATTTCTACTAAAACCTATTATTCACTGCTAAGACCAAGCTACTACTCTACTACAGCAACATTAACCTCCATAAAATAATTAAAGGATGGATTATCAGCATAAGACCTTATGTGACACCTCTCTGGAACCTAATGTTTCTTTCAATGGCCTGGAATATAATGAGATGTTCAAATATAGAAAGATGAGTTACGGCTTTTCGCAGTTGTGGCATTTATTCAGCCAGAAAGACACAACTTCTCAACTGCATTACTTTTAATTTACTTTTGACCCTGGTAGTTACGAGCAATCTTTAAGGAACCAGCCCTTTGATTCTCCTTTTTATATTGGCATTTAATTACTCCAACAAATTTCCAGATGTACAAATTATAATGGGCTCTAAATCAGTTCTTCCCCTTTGAACCACAACATCTCATTGGAAGGCAATTTTTAGCCTTCTTCGTACTCAGACCAGCAAACCCATCTCTCTCTCAGCATTTGCTCCTGTTCCATACAGCATCTGTTTACCTCCAATTACTGATTCTCGGGTCAGAGGTTTCCCCTGTGGCAGTGCTCAGCCCGGACACAACCCACGGGCCTTGCCAGGGGCACCACAGTGATATTTTGGTGACAAACACAGGAACTCACACACACATCATCATTCATAGCTGCATATTTTTGACCAAGCCATCTGTAATAGCAGCATACAGAAGAATGGCTGCTCTTAAGCCGCATGAAATGGTGTCAAGCCCTCCCATAAGTGAAGAGAGATATAATTAGAGTGCATTATTAAAATGAAATGTTTTATGCAATAGTTCGGATGGTGCGATAGGCCCAGGATTTTTAAATGAAATCAATTCTAATTGATGCTATCATTTCATCAGGCCGGTCCCTCTCCCACACACCACAGAGCTGCATCCCTCCCCTCAGTTTGGAGCCAGCCTGTGCTCTCTCCGCCCAGGGAGGGTGGCCGCAGGCACCAGGCTGGCTCCTGCCCACCTGAGGGCACCAGGCAGGACTTTTCTGAGGTTCAAGGCTCACCAAAGCCTTGGCTGGGCACCTCCAGTCCTGCCCCACGTGGCTGTTGCTGCTTCTACCCTCCAGCAGTGCCACCCATAAAGCCCTAAGGCCTCTAGCAGCAGATGCGATGCAATTGCAGGCTCTTACATTTATTGAAAAGGGGAATCATTTTCTCATGGGGACCGTAGTGGAGAGATCTTTTGAGGTCAGTTCTGCACCAGTGGGGTGGGTCAGAAGAAATACCGTGCAGCTGGAGCAGTTCCTGCAGATACGCACTGACTGGATTACAAGCAATTATCCCAAAACCACTGCAGAGGCAGACCAAACGATCCCAGCCTTTGGATTTCTAAGATATGTCAAACGTCTGCATAAACCTATAATGCTTCTAGAATAAAGCACTAAGCACTGCCTTAGCAAAATCATACAGCTCATTTCATAGAAGCAAATTCATGTCACAATGGATTAAAAAAATACAGAGACGGAAACAATTTAAAGGAAACACCTTGCTAATGACAAGAACACTTCTCTGACGAGTAGGGTTATAAAGGAGCGGTGTGAAGTAAAACTGCATCCTTCATGAAGCATCAAATACGCTGGAAAAGAAATCAAATCTTCCACGCTGGCTTCCCTGTTAAAGTGATGCTCTGGAAAATTGTCAGGTATGTGCATGTGTGACCGCACGGGCGGCAGGCACCACGACCTTGGCTTATCCAGCCTCCAGCCCCTGCAGCCGCAGCCAGGAGCACCCAGCACTGCACGGAGCACCCAGCGCCACAGGGCAGGGCGCAGCCGCCGCACCCCGACACGGCAGTTGTGTCCTAGAACACTGTGCAGAACATCTGTTTTCTTCACAGTCACTCATTTAAATGGATTCCACTGTGCCCGTTTTATGCCTCTCTCCGTTCCAGCAGAGGCTAAATTAAGCTTTGAAGTTTACTGAGAAATCCTAATGGCATAAAACTTCAATGCCATTTCCTGAATTCCAGGGAATTAAAGAAAGGGGGAGAGCAACAGAAAAGAAACCCCTCTTCTCCTTTATTGTTTTCTACAGCTTGAGCCTGAAATGACAGACTTTGAAAATAACCTTATGACCTCACTTTATGCATTATTCATATAAACTAAGACATGTAAATATAGTTTTCAACGGTTAAAATAAAACTTCTTTCCTATACAGGTTACAATTATTTAATATTATGACACAGCAACTTACATCATTAATATTCATATTAAACAGCAGGTAGGGGGAAAAAGTGACCCAAAATGAGCATGTACTTTTCTCCTCAGTATGTAACATCTACACATTGCCCAGAAAACTGGCAGACTACAAACGTGCGGAAGGTTTTCCAGAAAGGAGGGACGAATCATGTTTTGCATACAGCTGTGTAGCTGCCAGTTTGCCTTTGACTAAGTATGGAGTCTGTCAAAATATCTATTTGCAAGGGTTTTCCTGGCATGGCAATAGTCTTAGGGGATCAAGTACCGGCAGTATTTCAGTTTTCAG